TCAAATTTTTTATGAGGCCTTCTCCACACAAATATCCTACCATCATCTCTAAAAAGTTCAAACTTTGACTCATCACTCTAAATAATGTTATTCCATTAATTTCTCCATTCTCATTTTCCTTGGCCCAACTTAGTTTTTTGATTTGATTTTTTTTGGTTACTATTACAAGAGGTTTTCTTACCCCTACCTGACCATATAATATATAAGCTATTCTCATGAAGATTACTACGAAGCGTGTTTACACAGACACTAAACTGTAAAGTTCTCCTTTATTTCATTTAGAGTATTTGTCTATTTTTTGGAGAATTTTTTTTACTGCACAACTATCTCTTGGTGTAATTTTTTTGGGTCTTCCTGGTCTAGCAGAAGATTTTTCTTGTTGATAGTCGCGATATGCCACTATAACTTTGTGAACAGTACTTGGTATTTGAGCCCTTTTGCAATTTTTCCTTCACTTAATCCACACTTCCATGCACTAATTATTTCTCTACGTTCAAAAAGAGTAAGTTCTGATCAAGAAGTTATTTATTCCTATTAGTAGCAATAAGATGTAAATATTCACTGACCAATAAACATAAATATTAATATTATCTCATGGTTGCACAAAATTTGTATATAATAATAATAAAAATAAGAAATCTTATTTACGTTTAATTTATTTTCCTATCATTTCTAAAATTTAAATAAAACTGTTTAAATCATTCTAAACACATTTTATTAATAGAATATTTGATATTAGCGAAGCAATATTCGGTATTAAACAAATCAAAGTTAGAAGACAAAATCCGAAAAATCTGTACGCTTGCTTTAATTGTTTTAATAGATCGAGTTATTAAGAAGACATCGATAAAAATAACAACAATATATGTAAACTGTCATTGCAAACAAGTTTAATTAATACACAAAATGCAGTTGCGGTAGTAAAATGTTTGTTTACATAAGCATAAGTTTAGTGTATAATTTGTAAAATTTTGTGTTACTCATTCATATTCATTTTTAACCGAATATAATACGGTACAAAACACGCTACATACACCCTCGGCGGCCCCACCGCCACTCCACTCCTTATTGGAGGGCACTGTACATGGAGTATTAATATAAGTAAAAAAAGTGACCAGTTGTGGCTATGTGTTGGGAACTAGGACTATTAGCATCTAATAAAGGATTAGCATTAGTAGCTTTACCATCCGCACCAAAAGAATTCTCCGGAAAACATTGATTTAAACTTGGAATTTATTTACGTACGAAAAATTATTAATAATTATTATAAACGTGCTAGTCTCCTTCAGGGGAGTAATGGCAGTTGTGTATTGTAATATGTAATATAATGTAAATATAAATATAAATTAAAATTCGTAGTTCGAAAAAAATAAAGTGCCAAAAAAAAACCAAATAAATGTAAAAATAAAAAATAAACACGCATCGGGAGATAGCGACAGATTGTACTTTGTGTAATTGCTAGCAAATGTTTTGCATATTAAAATGGATACGAACAATCTCGTCCCCAAATTATTTCCCAATTATGCCAAAGGTTATAACTGAGATCAGGCTTCACATAGACATGAATATCATTGCAATATTTTCCATCTACCCAACCATCCCACCATAATATCGTATCCGTCCAGAAACGCGTGTCAAAATCTGGAGACCATATTTCGTAGAAGTATCCTACTGCCCAAGGTGGAGAGGTATAGCTCGCTACGTAATATTCAGTATCGGGGTAGATACCTTCATGCTGTTTCGGCTGTTCAGTATAGTCAACCCAGTGAAGACGTACGTATTTTAGTGCTTCAGTGTATCCACGAATCATCGCCCATACTGTATGTGTGGGATAAAAAACGCCAGCATGGTCTGCCGTTGTATTTGCAATACTTGTATAATTTTTTGTATCATTGGTAGTAACGAGACCCGCCGTGGAAGTTTTGACTAGTATAACTAGGATCAATAATATGCATATAACTTGCAATTTACGCACAAACATTGTGGTTACGTTGATTGCTCGCTTGGATAGAATTTACTTCCAATTTATATCTACATTGGAAAATATATAGGCGATTTTCTCATTATATCGTTGAATATTAATGCCGATTATACCTAATATATTTTTTTCTCCGCGATAAATTGGGCATACATTCTCTCTTTTCTTATTGTGTTATTCATAATTTGAAGAATAGCAGAGTCCATCTATAAATAAATTTGCAACGCATGGGGCTCACATTCACGTTACTTTCAAATTATTGAAAAGGAAAAAGGTATGGTGTATTGTGACAGGTTTACCTTTATTTTATTTTGTTATGCTCACATCTCACAGTTATGTCTTTCTCTCCTTTATTGGCCGCAATTTTTTGTTTACGTGATTAAATTTACTTGTAAGGCCGGTTATTGCAACAATCTTATCATGAGTGACTATGATGCTAATAAAATTTTTATGGCTTAATTCTAATACAAATTTTCATTGAAAAATGCCTTTTGTCGTATGCCAGATTGAAATCTGTCTGTTCATTTCCCTTCCGTTCCAATTTGTACCTGATTGGCGGATTAAATTCACATGAACGACAAATGTGTAATGTCCGTTTGTTCCCTCCCCATTACACGCACGTTTTAATAAGTGTGAAAAAGTAAAAAGTTGAGTTGCCCAAAATGGTTCTAATGGCTTCCGGAAATATATGCATTTTTGTAAAGAATAACACTTGAAGTCTTGGAGTGAAAGAAAAACAGCCGAAACGGGGGAACGTTCTTAATTTTCGCTGATTCATGATTGGCCGATACAATTGGGAAACGGAACAACATGGAACATGGTTACAGATATTCTGAATAAACATATGTCAGATTGGAATAGTAAGACACGACTTTATTAAATAAATAGGATATAAAGTTTGGGGGCTTTGCCCCACAAAACTTATAATATCAGTAGAGCTGGGATGTTGAGCAATTAATTCAGCGGTTAAGTTTTTGGTGTTATAGTAATTATATGATGTTTATTTGCATACCGTATAGGAAGGAATAATATTGTAAACGGTTACAAGACCATATTTAAAAAAGATTGGAGGCAATTTGTATTGGCAGATGTATCATAGACATCGACGGTAACAATAAAATGAAGACAAGTTCGTTCGAAATAAGTATAATTGAGACAAGGTTTTTTTTGGATCTCAAGTAAAAAATCAATAACAAGTCATGCTATATTGTCTGACTTTTAATTACTTTACTCTTTTTGAAGAATATATCGGGGAATTAGATATCGGTAGTGTTACAAACATATGAAGCCTCATGAAATTCCATAAAGTTTTTTTCCGCTGATCATTTGCCGATCACTTTTCAAACCTCGATAACTTTTGAACAAAACAAGCTACGCTTCAAAGGTAGTGACAGGAAGGTCTTTAGCAGATTTTTATTGAATTTGCTTATAAAGTCTGTACTAATACATGCTACCAAAAATGCTCCACAAGCAAATAGGGACACTTTTTTGTTTTTGTTAACAACAGTAAGGGTTTGTATATGAAAACGTGTTTTAAAAATCATTTTTTATTATTTTTATATTAAATTAAAATGTTTTTCTATTTTCTTGTGGAGCTGGCGTTGTAGCATATATCGGTACAGACTTCATAAGCGTAGCTTGCTTCGTTCAAAAGTTATCGAGGTTTGAAGTTTGTGTATTTTCACTATCGAAAATGATCGGCAAATGGTCAGCTTCGTTTATTATTATGGAATTTCATACGAGGCTTTTCATATTAATATGGCACAGTATGGCTAAGATGAAAGAAAATATATATTTTCATTCAGAAAAACATAAACAAAAAGTTAGTTTATATGCATAGTGGTAGCGTTGAAAATGTACCTTATGTTAATAAAAATCACCTGTACGTGTAAAGATTGGTAATGGTATCGACTTATTTTCATCAATTATTATTTGATCTGTGTATTGACTTTGGCGCAATAATTGTACAGCAGAATACTGAAAAGAAGAGCGCTGACGATGCATACGTGCAGTGTTCTGAAAATTTCCAAGTTTTTTCCAATTGTATATAGGACACATTGTCCAAACTGGATGTAATCTAAACCGAGGATCATATCCTATTAGTCTAGCATTGTCATTGTTAGTAGAAGACTGATTATATAAGTCATTATTATTATAGTGTCCGCAACAGATCCGGGAATAGCAATACTTCTAATTCTGGGTCGACAAAACTTAATGGTAGCCGTTGTTCATCGTTATTAAAGAGAAAACCTATGGCTATAGACGAGAATATGGGCATGCTGTTGTGTATTCATTAGATAAGATGTATGGAGGCATTACTATGTCAGATTGGTGTACAGAAGGAGCGAAATTGTCTTCAGAAATGTGCGTAGCTTGCTGCCAAATTAGTTGGAGACTGTTCACCTTGTTCGAGCAAACGTGAGGCTAACGGCCGCCCGTCTAAAGTTATACAAAGTGTCGTTAGTCAACATGTGCACCAGAACAGTGCGTTTTCAACACGATGACTTGCATTAAAAGTGCATGGGACACAAACCACTTCAATTTTACACGTCGTTGCTTAACGTCATAAGAAAAAAAAAAAAAGCTTCGCTTCTTTTGCAACACAGTGCCCACAAACCAGCATATCGAAATGGCAGAAGGCATGGGTAGCGGCACATTTACATGACAGTTAGACGGTACTATATTTACCGAATGTAACAGCATCTAAATTGAAAAATATATGATCGAAAATAAGGATGCAATTTCTGATAAAACAGTGAATAATTTAATTTTACTGGTGAAAGATGTGAACTTGCGTTGGAAAATAATGGAGATGGAATTTTGTATTAAAACTTTATGTGTAATAAAGTACATTATAAATTTTGGAATTAGTCAATTAATTTGTTAAGTTATTATTATGCACTTTTGTAAGTACCGTTTTTTGTAATACTATATGTCTTTTGCGTAATCCACATAATCGAAAGTTGGCTTATTGTTGCATAATAAGATTAGAACGATATTGGGTTTTTACAATTTAGCGTTACGCTCTCCTTATCTACCCGCGCCCCTGAATGTCACGCATCGTTCACCCCCTGTGAAATCATACCTATCCCCTGTACGAAACGTCAAATTGGGCCAAGGGATTTTTTTGACGGTCGAAAAAGTAACATTAATTATTATTACTCGACTGCCTGACAATGTTTCTATACAACATCACTCTCCAACCACCAGCATCAATCAACTGCGCAGTAGTAGGACACTTTTCAGGCACAAAACAACAAGAAATAGTAATATCAAGAGTAACACGATTAGAGTTATGGAGAGTGGATCCAACAACTAGAAAACTACAGACGCTGTTGACTCAAGACGTATTTGGAATAATAAGATCGCTAACACCATTTAGATTAACTGGTGGATCAAAAGGTATGAATGTAGCAAAAACAAGCAGAGAGAGAGACGAAGCGTAATGAATTATTGGTCGTTTGAACTTGCACTAATCCAAATCTATCGACAGATTATATAATCGTTGGATCAGATTCGGGGAGAATAGTGATATTGGAATATAATCCTCAGAAAAATAAATTTACCAAAGTTCATCAAGAGACATTTGGCAAGTCGGGATGCAGACGGATTGTGCCAGGACAGTACCTCGCTGTTGATCCAAAAGGGCGATCTGCAATGATCGGTAAGTATAGCTAGGAAAGTTGATGCCTTGGAGTATTGAAAACGTTTTATAGTTGTTATTTGCTGTAGTCGATAATAAAAATGAAACATATGTACTGGGTCCCATTCCAGGAACATACCAATCTCAACTCCGATCTTGTTGTTCATTCCCTCCCTACTCACGCCCTGCCCCTCATCTAAATTCTAAAAGGTGCAATCGAAAAACAGAAACTGGTCTACATTCTCAATCGTGACTCGGCCGCGAATCTCACAATATCATCTCCGCTGGAAGCTCATAAATCTCATACTATTGTGCATCACTGCATAGGATTGGACGTGGGATATGAAAATCCTGTGTTTGCTTGTTTGGAAGTGGATTATTCAGAGGCTGATCAAGATCACACGGGAGAGGCTTTTATTAGTACTGAGAAGGTTCGAGTCGATACAGACTAGCAAGCGGGGGAAAGGGGTAGTTGAGTCGATCGGGAATTTGTTGTTTTTATAAAAATGAGGGCCTTTTTAAGTGTATGTACTGTAGATTGTTAATACCATTAACACGGTTACTGTTTCATATGATCTTTATTATTATTCATAGATGCTGACTTACTACGAACTGGATTTAGGGCTGAACCACGTGGTGAGAAAATGGAGCGATCCTGTTGATGCAAGAGCTAATATGCTATTCCCAGGTATTAATTCCTCTCTGTTAAAAAACATTCACGTCCACTGCTCCCACTCTGTCTAAAAACAATCTATTCTCGCGACAATCACAGTTCCTGGCGGCAACGACGGTCCCTCTGGCGTACTCGTTTGTAGTGAAAACTTTATAACCTACAAGCACCAACGGTCACCCTCCCTCCGCATTCCTATACCTCGTCGCCACAGCCCACTTGAAGATGCTAGTCGTGGCCTTATCATCGTTTCCGGTGTAATGCACAAGATGAAGGGATTCTTTTTCTTCCTACTTCAAAGCGAAGAGGGCGATGTGTATAAAGTCACATTGGAATATGACAGTGATACAGTTACAGAAGTCAAAATTAAATATTTTGATACGCTACCGGTTGCAGCGTCGTTATGTATTTTACGAGCGGGTTTCTTGTTTGTTGGTGCCGAGTTTGGAGACCAGTAAGTTATGAAAAGAATATTGTTGCACTTTCGTAACGTCATTATTCCAATTACCTACAATCTCACTGCATTTTTCTTAAATTCACTTTTTTTTTTCCACAAGCCGTCTCTACTCTTTTACTTCCCTGGGTGATAACACTGATGAGCCAGAATACTCTAGTTCCGATTTTAATTCTCAAGACGATACCGATCCGTCATTCGTTTATTTTGTGCCACGCGAGCTTCGGAATCTTGAATTAGCCGATACGCTCGAAAGTTTGTGTCCATTGACTGATGCCAAGGTATTAAATTTGACGGATGATGACACACCACAGATTTATGCTCTTTGTGGAAGGGGAGCAGGAAGTAGTTTTAGGATATTAAGACATGGACTGGAGGTGAGCGAAATTGCTGTTTCGGAATTGCCTGGGAATCCGAACGCGGTTTGGACTACAAAATTGAGAGATCAAGGTATTAAGAAATGGTAATGGAGAAACAGGGAGGATGGGATGTGGGGATCACTTGTGGTTACTCGAACGCGCGTCAAGAATTGCTAACAAAAGGAGAGTCTAAGGTTTTGACTGCAGTAATTTAGGCGGTTGACTAATACCATTTTACCATCTATAGATGAATATGACGCATATATAATTGTATCCTTTGTAAATGCGACGTTGGTATTATCTATCGGGGAAACGGTTGAAGAAGTCACCGATACCGGCTTTCTTTCCACTACACCCACAATAGATGTTCACCAATTGGGCGATGATGCATTACTCCAGGTATTTTGTCAACATGATTCTATCAATTCAACGTAGGAAAAGTTTTTTCGTTTTCCCACTTACTTTCTACCCTCATGTGCAAATGTGAAATCGACACTTTTTTTTTTTACCAAGATTTACCCACAAGGTATCCGGCATATTCGCGCCGATCGTCGTGTAAATGAATGGCGTACACCTGGGAATCGAGCTATAGTGAAAGCAACTACTAACAAAAATCAAGTAGTAATTGCTCTTACTGGCGGCGAAATTGTATATTTCGAACTTGATAACCAAGGACAATTGAATGAATATCAGGATCGTAGGCAGATGAATGTAAATGTTAATTGTTTGGCTGTCGGCGAAGTGCCCGAAGGACGTAAGCGAGCAAAATTTTTGGTATGTGTAAATTGGTGGGGGAGAGAGAAAGCATTGTTTATGTACGAGGGGAAATGGTGTTGCATATACTGACAATGATGAAATCTTTCAAAGGCTGTCGGATGTGCTGATAATACAGTGCGAATAATTTCTCTTGACCCAGACAGCACGCTGGAAATCCTCAGTACCCAGGTGAGTATTGATACATGCAAGCCGATTTAATATCACTCCATTCTTCATCGTTTCCAACGGTTTGAAACTCATATTCTAACTTGCGACTTGATTTTTCAGGCTTTAACCGCGCCACCATACTCTCTCTCGATAATTGAAATGTTTGACATTGGCACGGATGCAGCACATGGCACCTTTTATCTCAATATCGGACTCCAAAACGGCGTTCTTCTTCGTACGGTTCTAGATAATGTCACTGGACAATTAACAGACACACGCCAACGTTTTCTTGGAGCTCGACCAGTGAAATTGTTTCATGTTCGAGTCCAAAATGCGCCAGCAGTGCTCGCATTGTCTAGCCGGCCGTGGTTGAGCTACACTTTCCAGTCCCGGCTGCACTTGACCCCCTTATCATATGATTTGCTAGAGCATGGTTCAAACTTCACATCACCACAAGTGCCAGAAGGCATTGTGGCTATTTCTGCGAACACTCTAAGGATATTTACTGTCGAGAAACTTGGGACAGTGTTCAATCAGGCTTCCCTGCCGCTAAAATATACCCCTAGACATTTTATCAATCATGCGCAGTCGAAAAACTTTGTGATTATTGAAACGGAGCATAACACTTATTCTCCGAGTGAGAAAGAGAAGGTGTTAAAGACAAAGGAAGCTGAGGGAGTCGAAATTGATGAGAAAGTTGTTAATTTACCACCAGATACATTTGGATTACCAAAGTATGAGAGCGGAAAATGGGCGTCTTGTATCAGAGTCGTGAATCCGTTCCAGGGAGAGACGACGCATTTGATTGAACTGGAGGAAAATGAGGCAGCGTTTAGGTATGCCATTTTGTTACTTGTTGCTGGAACGTGTACCTCAACCGTTCTTGTAGCGTCTGGGCTGCTGTGTTCGTATACTAATGTTAATAACAAATATTCTATTGGACTATTAGTATTGCGACAGTGAGTTTCCATAATCACAGTAATGAAACGTTTCTTGTCGTTGGTACTGCAAAGGATGCCAATCTTGCCCCGAGAACTTGCACATTTGGTTTCATCCACGTCTATAGATTTATTAACGAGGGAAACCAACTCGAACTTGTCCATAAAGTAAGTTTAAACATTCGATTGATAGTTTGTAGATGATTTTATGATTAATGAGTTTGTTTATTATGATAGACATCTGTTGACGATATACCAATGGCACTTTTAGCATTCCAAGGAAGGTTGCTGGCAGGAGTTGGAAAGGCTTTAAGAATATATGACTGTGGGAAACGGAAATTGTTGCGTAAATGCGAGACAAAGGTAACCAGAACATTTGTTTGATAGGGTTGCGATGTTGCAGTCCCCTCCTGCTATATTGGGTTCGCATGTTGACATTGAGACGACTACGATTTGTCACATATTTTTACCATCCAATGAAACTCAATCATAATATCTCTTAATAGGCTATTCCCAACTGTGTAGTCGGTCTCCATACACAAGGCAATCGTATCATAGTCAACGATATCCAAGAATCTATTCACTATGCTTCATATCGCCCGCATGATAATCGTATAATCATATTCGCCGACGATACTACGCCTCGATGGGTCACTACCTCGGTAATGGTAGATTATGACACTATAGCGGGCGGGGATAAGTTTGGAAACTTTTTTATCGACAGATTACCGTCCGAGACTAGTGAAGAAGTGGACGAAGATCCAACCGGTAACAAGATTATGTACGAAAAAGGATATTTAATGGGAGCTCCTCACAAGGTAGAGTATTGGTATTGACACAGTCGAAGGGGCGGGGATAGTCGAACAAGCTCATCCTAATATTAGTTGAATATATAACACTAACATAGCACCCGTCTTGTGTTATTACTAGATTCAAATCGTATGCCAGTATCACGTAGGCGATATCCTAACATCCTTGCAACGCACAACGCTTGTGGCTGGTGGGAGAGAAATACTCCTCTATACCGGCTTTATGGGTAATATTGGTGTATTCGTCCCGTTCATAACCAAAGAAGATGTCGATTTCTTCCAAACACTTGAAATGCACATGCGTCAAGAAGCTCCTCCCTTGGCAGGCAGAGATCATCTGATGTACAGAAGCTTCTACGCTCCGGTGAAGGCAGTAATTGATGGAGATTTGTGTGAGCAATATAATTTATTACCAATGGATAAGAAGAGAGCAATTGCTCAAGAGTTGGATAGAACGCCGGCCGAGATACAAAAGAAAATCGAAGATATGAGAGTCTTGGCAGCGTTTTAGAATATGAAAGAGTGCTGATGTCTTTGCAATGGTTGAAAGAACTGGTTAATGGTGATTGACGGTTGATTGGATTGGAAATGAACTGGGGAAGTTAATGGCTTGAAGGAAAGGTTGAATATTGCACGAGTCTTGGTGCACAGAGTTTGAATTAGTTTGGATTAGTTTGTATAAAGACATGAATAAAAAGATTTTTGCGTGACAGAATACTTGGTCATAGACTGTTCTTGTTGTAGAAAATGTCATTCACTTGTTTCGTCTTCTTCAATCAATTCAAATACGACCACAAAGAAAATAGCGCTTGCATCTCTTGATTTGCATACATATCTCAAAGGCTGTGATAAAACGGACAGTTAGATACTTTCGCGTTCACACCACTTTGACCATTCACACAATCACTCCCTTTGGATGACAATCAAGATCGCGCATAGACTTACCTGTCCATCCCAATACTTCATCACACCAATTTCGAACCCGGGTAATTTTACGGCAAATTTATCAAAATCAATATAGGCGTTGAAAAAATCCAAATCCCACACTTGATCCTCTGTTATCTTCAACCGCTCTCGATTTTCTTTATTTGAAAAGTAACGCCTTCTCGCGCTGGGAAAAGACGGTAGCTGATCAAGTAAAGAGATAGATTCGGCAATGTGCTCACCATTGGGTGATGGCCACGGAGGAAAAGACGGTGAATTGTCGATAGTGAGTCTGATTGCATTCATGGTAACTAGGAACGGACTGTATGCCCAAGGTTTTGGGGAATATACGTCGGCCTCAAGACCCGGATCGATAAATTGGAGAATTTTCAGACCTATCCAGCTACCAGGTGGAAGACGGATAGGTTGATCAAAATCATTCTGGAAAGTTTTTTAGGTAGAAAAAAAATTGTCAATTTGTAATGATGTGGTTTAAAAGTGAATGGTTTTTAATCTGTTACAAGTACCCCGAATACAATGTCGTCTCCAGTCCATTTATCTCCCTTGAATCGGCCGTGCACCTGTATAGAATATTGCTCATTGTTTCCATCAAACCATGGACTCGTGCGTCGAACCTGTTGTCCAGGTAAAACAACGCCATTATAATCTCTTATACGTATACAGATGTGGCCGATAAAATGTTCGCTTGTGAGCAGAAACGGATTATCATCATTATTTGGTAGAATTGTCGTCAGCGTTGATGGGTCATACGAGGGTCCAACTCTGATGCGTAATTTCAAGGTCATTATTATTTGTGGGGGGACAACGACGGAAAAAAAGCCAACATTTTATGACATAATCTCACATGTTAATACAATGTTTTTCTCCTGTGTTATCCATCCAATGTTGTTTTAATTTCTCTTTACTGTTTTTCTTATTCGATTAGATAACTCATAATCTATTAGTCGCGTTCATATTATAAATTTCGTGATTTGATACAGAGGACAAGAGAAGTGTTGTTCCCATCCGAGCAGTTAGTCATATAAGCAAGTTGCACTATGCTGCTAACTGAACTAACTTGTGAACGAGATGGGCTAAATAATGACGAATTCTTCTCATCATCACACACGAGAAGTCCAAGAAGGTTTGCAGATTGCATTTATTGATTAAAAAGTCTGGATTTCATTTTCGTTTCGCATTTGTAACAACCCAACTACGTACGTGCTTATTATTATCATTTTCACCACATGGCAACTGAATTCGTCGTCATTGAATAGTTTGCAATAAATGACAAAGTTACCATTTTCATATTTACCACATCAGGCCGCGAAATGACAGTGACTCACATATGATTCTGATTCTAAGGAGGAAATCACCATGAAAATGGCAGGTACTGAAACAATCGGTTCCGCGTTGAGAAAGCCAACACTTCCGTTTGACTTTATGGACATCTCCTTAAGAGGAATTTCGCACTAGAGAAATTTTCTAGGCAATATGTAAGATATAAATACTACCAAAGATTCTACAAAATACGGCTGACCTTTGTGAATAGGTACAAGACAGAATCGATTATCTTGGGGGAAAAGAAATCCGCGCAGAAAAATTTTGTTGTCACAGTGAATGAGCCTCTTGGGGATTGTTGTTTAATTACACAGTGTCTACGAGTTTCTGATATATTTTGTAAACGACATATTTAATTGTTTAGTACGCTATTGAGAACCTTCAGAAGAGTAAACGTGGAATAAAGCTGTTCTGCCGGGTTTGGCCTGGAATAACCAGTGTAATAGTCTTTTGTCGTTGTTGTTGTTGGGTTCGTCGTTTGAAACGTTGCGTGTTGCAGCAAACTGTTACACTACAGCGAAGAAGTGTTCGGTATGCATTAAAACTTTAGATAAACGTAATACGCTTCAGAGTAGGAGAGATTGTCGCGTGCAATAGACGCGTGTCTGACTGTTATGCGGTCGATGAACCGTCTCGTTTCTTGAGATTTTGTTTGTGAATTGTGCATTCAAGTAAGCATCTGAGTGTATGTCTGGGTAGACGCGTGCTTGACAGTTATGTAGATGCGTCTTGATCGAGGGCTTGTTCAAACTGTTGCATGTGCGGAATGACGACAGATCTGTTTGTATTAAATGCAATAATAATAACAATAATTATAGTGCGCATGCATTCATTACAGTATTATAGAGTTATACATAATCAATTGGAAAAATATTAGTTGCGTCACTAAGTGTGTAATATCTTTCTTCTTCAGTTCAGAACGCAGTCACTCACTTGTCTCGGTCCAGATCCCAATTATAAGTAAGGTACAGAAAATTATCTGTCAGTAGTTGGTGTTAGTATCCCTGCAGCAGAGCAGTAATCCAAGTTTGTATTACAAAGGAGTTTTCAGAATTCTAAGTTATGACTACTTCAACAGCTTAAAATAGACCCCATTAATAACACTTCCGAGTTATTCAAAACAAAAAGTGGGATATGTAAACATAAAGTCTTAGTATGTACTGTATATCAGTAAGAGATATTCAGATATAGTATGAGTCTAGGCTGGATCAATCGGTCGAGAACGTATAGCAATTATGCTTTTGACTGCCAGTACCAAGCGTTATGCCTCAATTAATAGTATCAATTCCTAGACACTTTTTTTCATGTATTCAGCTTCTTTCTGTGCACTTGACAGTTTTCCATAGAACTGTAGTAACTGCATTAAATTAGTTTGATTATAGGGGATTTACTGCCAGTTGTTTACGAACAGAAGATGCACACTTTATTGCACACAATATTAATACTGCAATCCCGAATCACTCCCCAAATTGTTCAATATAATACCGGAAAATGCATAAAGCTAGAACGACCCGTCTAAAAAAATATTAAGAAAATGGTATGTTACGGGCCATGCTATCCTATAAAGCAAATTAAAACATGACTTCTATCATTTGACAGATGATAAACTACCAACTTTACACTACAAAAATAAATTTATCATTGTGAACCATGAAACTCACTCAATCAGAGTCTTCGTCTTCGCTCTCATCCTCACTCTCCTCGCTTTCCTCCTCGCTTTTGCTTTCATCCTCGCTTTCGTCCTCGTCCTCGTCCTCGTGCTTGTTAACGTACACGTCGCTTTTACGCAATTCAACTTCCAGTTCGACGCATTGAATTTGGCAGTAACCGAATTCACGCCTATAATCAGAGGTATCCTGACCTTCTCCAAAATCTATCCTCTCCTCACTTTCTGTATAGTATTTATCATGGGACTCTTGAATAATTTCTGATCCTTTGTAAAGACTCCGCGCTTCACTCCTCATTGCCGACCGAGCAAGTTTTTCGGTCGTGAAACAGCGGCAATCAATATCATAACTATCTTCTTTGTACCCGGAGAAATATGTCGTCAATACCCACACTTTCGTTGGATTTTTGTCTGAAAGAGGAAGAAAAAAAAGTCAAGTCCGTTGGATTGCGGCATGTCAGACAAACAATAACCGACTCTACCTGTAGGCTTTGAAATGGTTGCACTCGTTTGCGTAGCAGTTTTCATAATTCTGTGTTTATATTAGTGTAGAGTTGCAAATGCAATCTTGATTAAAAGATGTGAGAAGAACGATTTTAGAAAGTTACAAGTGTATTACTGTTCGAAATGAACTTTTAAATCGAGGTAAACACAGAACGCACACACGATACGCGAGGTAACTCATTATCACGTTCATTAATCATGTGATTCTGATGTGGCTGGTATATGTACTTTGCGCCGCCACCTCGAGCCGCCACCCTAATTGTTATTTATTAACGTTATTATTATTATGCTTTTTACTGCCATCCATCCCAGCCGCATGTGATTCTCCGAGGCTTTGCCGGAGTCCGCCTATTGGTTTGTTAAACTGA